AGAGCCAAACTAGTCCAAACAACATGAATCACTAGGGGTCTTAACTACAGCCTGACAGGTACTGGATTTTTAATATACTGAACATTTAGCAAAAATAGGAGGAGATGCAGCTGTACTTATGGTAATATTCAAGCTCATTTACACAACAATGTGGTTAATTTAAAACGCCTGACAAAGTATTTAAACAAGACTCGTCATCTTTTAATTTAAACCTCTTAATAAATGAAATACCTTTCTGTAATAGGTAATAGAGTGGAGTACTTTCAAACTAAAAATGCAAAGCATATGTCAATTGATGGTATAGCTGAATGAAATATTTCCCTCCTTACATCAAGCGCCAGAGTGATAACTGCACACAGATTTACATGAGATTGACAGAGTAACAGTGTGCGGTACATAATACATGCAGAGCTTCTGGCTAGACGCCAGATATTCCACAACAAGCCACACCGCCCATCTGCCTTTTTCGTCGGGAAGAAATAGTGCTCAAAGATGTGAGTAAGTGATCATCAGTCTCTGACAGCAGAGCAAACATTACTAAGACCACAAAAAGGCGATGTATCCCCAACGGCTGTGATGATCTAACTTTAATAGAAATGGTATAAAAGCAATCCACAGTGCATTATTCACACTTTGGCAACACTAGGCAGGACTAGTGTTAAAATCAAAATGTTGACTCTGGCTTTTGACCTGTTAAAAGTATTTCAAATGAGAAACTTCTCCAACATATTGATAGTTCAAGCTGCCCTGTGGCACTTCTACCGACTCTGCCTCCTCCTGCGATTCCGATTCCAGCAGCCCCCTCATGAATCCTTCATATTATTTAACTTTTGTCTATGCCTTGTTTCTGCCATATTCCATCAGTGGTCCTTCTCTGCAAATATGCTGCAGTAACAGCAAACACGTTTATTTATGATGGCAGGTAACACAAAGTAAACATGTTTTTCTAAAGGTTACACGTCTGTCACAAAATGTTGATTATTATTGGCCAGCATTGGCAAAGGACTCAAACACAATGGTACTTCTAACAAGAACCCATGATCTGTGTCTAATCCTGCTCTCAGTCACTTATATGAAGCTGCAGTTAAGTAATAAACAGTTTGTAACTCTATGGTCAACATGTGAGGATGTGAATTTGACAGTCTTCTAGAGAAAAATGCTTAAAGTTTTTTTGTGAATGACACTGAACTGCTGCACAGTTCATTGAGGGGTTTGTCACACCCACTAAAACACACGGGGGTATAACTTCATACATATAGCCCCCTTGACCTGGAAATAAACCCGATAAAGTAGTATGACGATATACTTTGGGTATGAGCTCATATATTGATTAACAAAAGGACAAAATGACGGCATTAAAATAAAACAATCGGATGCGCGGCAAACCCTTTAATCATTTTAAAAACACCCTCTCCATTAAAACTGGGGGTCTTACATTTTTCACGTCCTCACTGGGCTTAAATCTTTTAGGCTAAGTAAGGCCATAGGAATAAAACATTTAATTAATGTTATTTACAATAGCCTTCCATCTTAGTGCCGAGTGAAAACCACTTAACCGTGGCAGATATATCACTCTCAACAGCCGCACTCACTTTCTGGCTGAAAATGGATTTATAAATTGCGTAATGTCGCTGCTAATTTCAAATCTGCTTCTTCGTTGCTAGTGTTAGCTGATGTGTGTGCATACTTTGAATTCCTTTCCACCACGGTCTACCAGAATAAATAGCTTGTTAATAAACAGAGAGCGGTACGGCGCTGCTTATCAAGCCGTGTAACATTAGTTTTGTGAGCTCTTTGCGACAGCCTCGCCCAAATTAAGCTAAATTAGCCAGCGAGTTTGATGAAGCCAGCCGAAACATCGTTAGCTAACTTGGCTAGTTACTGTCGAACCGGCTGAGGCAAGCGGAAAGTTCACCGCGGACTTGCGAATCGTCGTTACTAAATCTCAGCAGCCGATAACCTAAGTATACACTTATTCAACGTTTGCTTACATTTCTCACTTTAAATTAAAATTATCTGTGGTGTTATCCGCGTTACAATGAACATCTTCGCCGGCATTACATCTCATTATCCTACGGCGTCCGATCAAAGCTCTCAGTCACAGGAAAAAAACAGGTCTGTCTCGATTGTAACGGTGCAGTGGCGTCTCCAGCCTTACTTCAAATTATCCCGCATGTTTCGCTGGCTTCGACTTGGCAAACAAACTTAAAAACCCCCAAACGCTGTCGAGTTATTCGCCATTAATAACCTAAGTATTCGTACAATAGAAAAACAAGCCACATTTTCCAAACACGCGTTGAGGAGAACTGATTTTTTGTTCTAGCGTCATTCCCAAGCCTCACAGCTGGACGCCTGGATTCATATACCATTGTTTTGCTTGGTTACTTGATCTTGGCATTACTCGTTTAAAAACTGATTTAACCGCGAAGATATCTAGTGCTTACATTTTCTAAGGTTGTTTTACGAGCGTCCCCAGTTTCCCTCCCAAAGAGTCAACTTACTTGAAAAAGAAACGTACTCCAGCTCGGCTCCATTTCCACACTTAGTAATTCTGTAGGAAACCTTGTAGAAGCCTACAACAAAGCAACCAAACATGGCAGCTGAAACAACTTCCGGTAACCTCGAAGGACTGAACCACTTTACATACTATTTAGGGGGGATGTTAAATTTAGTATGTTACAAAGAATTTGTGTAATCGTTTATGCGTCTCGTGAAACATAGGTAAATAAACTAAGGCTGCCAACTTAAAAACATTCTGAATTATAATTGTAACACATTATTTTAATCGTTTCTTTCCTGTCCTAAAACTAATATGATGTGTGTGGATTTCTAAACACCCCCCTGGATGGGTTTCCGCTGATTCTGCGAGGGGCATTTAGTCGACTACTGTCGCATGTGGTTGGGATATGAATATATTTCAGTAACACTACAATCGTTTTGTAAGAAAATGATCTCGAAGTGGGTTTGTTCTGCATATAGACACTTGGCCTTACTTTTTTTTCGAAAATGAGAAGTGTTTCCGTTTAAACGGAGCAAGAAATTATTCGCCTGCGCAGCACTTTATTTTCATTCATGGGATGGGGATGAATGAAAACGCCAGAACCCATAAATTGGACGAATTGCCTGCAGTGGACCAAAATAACACACACGCAGTCTATTCATTGAGTGTTACACCACTTGTATTGAATAAACTTCGACAAAAAAATGTTTAATGTTTAATTGAATTATTTTTTGGAGGATTTTTGCAATTCTGATAGTATCAGGAAATCGTGGATTAATTGTTGTTTCTAATGTTCTATATAGCATGGTTATAAAGATTGTTACAACAGTTTAGGCTTGGATGTGAAGGCTGCTGATTTGTTCAAAGTAAAAGAAAAATGAATTGACACTTTTTTATTGATCTCATCAATATACCAACCCTATCTTCAGCATTCTTCCTACAAATGAGTTAGACATATTGGTTTATATCATTCTTCTTGGAACCAAATTCAAATGTGTCCTTCACTGTGTTATATCATTTATTATTGTATAACTAATGATCAAACCACAGGCAGAGTGGACACTGACATGACCACAGTGAAAAATGAATCATAGCTGCATTGTATCATCCTGATGTTTTTACACCTGTCGCCAAGATATCTCACACATTGGATTTCAATTTAGTCATTTGATAGAAGGGAACATGTTATGTATCACTGTGAAATAACAAAGTATAACTGATATCTCTGATATTAAACGCAGGCAGACAATATTAGGAATACAGCATGCCTGCCTGTGGTCAAATGACACCTTCAACCTTGTAAACAGCTGAGAAAAAAAAGCACAGAGCATCTGGGGTTACAAGAAATGACCTTCATAAGCACCAACGGCTGTTCTATAGAGGCTCAGATTACTAAGACACGTAAGATTGTGTGTCATTCCAACATCTTTTATTAAAATCCAGCCAGGCACATACTGTACGTAAGATGTAACTCCCTTTGTCCTGTTCTTATTCCATATTTGCTGAAAAATATCTTAATAAACTAAAAATATGCATTCCAACTCAGCTAATAATCAGCTTATGTGGATACAATATTCAGTTTCAGGGTAGCAAAAGAGTGGTTATTAAAGTACCTGGATGTAACTAAAGCAACAGGGCTCAGATTGCTTGGCAGCACCAGACAATGTAAACAGTACACACTTAACCAAACAGTGTTAAATTTACATTATAACAGGAGGACCCCTGTATCATATAGGCTAACACAGCACAGATAATGCAGCTCCACAATGTACAAAATGTTCAAATTAAAAGTAAAGCATTACTCACTTCTTTTTCACTGAGGACAGCTACTAACTGTGAATGAAAATCAAATCTGAACACAACACTTACACTTCGTAATACCCATAACTAAACAAATATTTATCTGTCCAGCCCATATCATTAATGTGTAGAATCACCAAAAGAGCACTTGTTCAATAATAACTTTTTAAGGACTTTTTTTAAAGCAGCATTTCCTGCTAGTATGCTTAATTATTTAACACTTTTTCAGTTAAGAGTAAGAAGAGGATGGTTAAAGTTGCCCTGAGTGCTTGTATTACAATTTCAGGGATATTCTTTGCTCTACAACAGCCAAGAGTTGGAAAAAAGAGAGAGAAGTTGCTGATATGTTTGAAAACTTAATCATAACTGACATGAAAACTGATATAAAATGATTTTTCACACTACCAGTGAGACCACCGTGTCTAAAACCTCTTGGAAATGAGACTTGTATTTCAGCTTTAAAATGAAAGTGGTCACAGATCCATGTTTGAATCAGTATTGTGCACACTCTTTCCAGTACGTTCTTTGAACTCTTTGCTCGTCCCTGAATGGTTGTTCAGTAAAGGTGCCCCCATTGTACATTTTCAATCTTTGTCCCACTGTACATTGAAAGCCTTTATTCACATACAGTGCAACGAATGTTTCAGTTAGGAGTTGGGGAATATGTGTGGTCAGCCCATTCTCCCCTCATCCAGCTCAAAAGACACGATAACATCCAGCAAAGGGCTCCACTTGAAACTACAGTTATGCAGATTGCTTCCTCTGTTTTTTCTCAAGCTTTGGATAAAGAAAACTCAGATTCTCCAAAGGTAAGCTCCTCGAGGACACAAGAACACAACAAATATATTATAGAGTTGATTAGCTTTTTTAGGAGTAGATTGTGGATGTTACTTTGAGACTTAATTTGTCAACCCAGGAATTTTAAAAACACAAATTCCTGTAACTAAACTTTTTTTGTGACTATAAGAAGCTGCTGGTAATTTATAACTTTTACAACTCAATGCAATATCTGCTATATTGTCATTACATATGAAATACACACAGTAGTTTATTCTTCTTAAGTTCACAGGGGAAAAATGACACTGAAGGTAATGTCAGATTGTGACAAACTAACATGAGGCGATGACACACCAAGAAAGCTATTTTATGGTATTTAGGGGGATTTCTAGGTCAATATTTGAATCTAGATAATATTTGAAAGCCATATGTGGGCAAATACATGTGGTTTCATGCACCTGCTTCCTTGGTGAGACTATTGAGTCATATTTGGGGGCATTTTTTTTCTCCTTAGAAGTGCAGGGTATGTGAGCAACCAGCTTGGTTTTATTATGATTCACTGTAAATAAACATTCTGCCTGATTGTTGTTAGTATGGTTGTAGTAACAGTGTTTTAACTACTTTTTTTTCCACAGAAATGGGAGACTGGTCCATTCTTGGCCGCTTCCTAACCGAGGTTCAAAACCATTCCACAGTCATTGGCAAGATCTGGCTGACAATGCTGCTCATCTTCCGGATCTTGCTTGTGGCCCTGGTGGGGGACGCTGTCTACAGTGACGAGCAGTCCAAGTTCACCTGCAACACCTTACAGCCTGGCTGTAATAACGTCTGCTATGACACTTTTGCTCCTGTCTCACACTTGCGCTTCTGGGTCTTTCAGATTGTTCTAGTCTCCACACCCTCCATCTTCTACATTATCTACGTCTTGCAAAAAATCACTAAGAATGAAAAGACAGAGGATAAGAAGGTTGAAGTGGTGCCCAGGTCCTCACCTTTACTAGAAAGGGACAAACACATGGGAGGAGATAAAGAGACAACGCTGGAAGCTGGCAGTCCTTATAACACAACCTATGATAATGAGGACTGGAGCTCACAGGAAGGTGAGTGTAAGGAGATGAGCCAGCTGGAGGAGGAAATGAGAGAGGTAGGAAAGGACCCAACCCAGCTCTCCAGCCAAGTACTGCTTATTTACATCATACACGTTTTGCTGCGCTCCATCATGGAGATAATCTTCCTCATTGGGCAGTATTACCTATTTGGATTTGAAGTCCCACACCTTTTCCGCTGTGAGACCTACCCCTGTCCAAACAGGACTGACTGCTTTGTGTCCCGAGCCACAGAGAAGACCATCTTTCTCAACTTCATGTTCAGTGTCAGTCTAGGTTGCTTCATTTTGAACATTGTGGAGCTGCATTATCTAGGCTGGATTTATATTTTCAGAGTATTGTTCTCAGCATGCTGCACATGCTGTGAGTCAGATAGAAACCCCATGCAACACGTGGATTTATACTCCGATAACAACCCACTGTTGCTGGAGCTCAAACACTCACTCCGTGGCAGGGTTGTCCTGCAGACCACCTCTACCATGTCCCGGGACAAGAGCAGCGGTGTCCCAAACCAAGGCCCGGCCATCTCCTTTGAGACAGACTCCACACTGGAGTGTACTTCGAAGAGAAATCCAGATGAAAAGGAACGCAGCAAGACTAGACTGCACAATATGGCCAAAATAGGAAGAGGCAAAAAGTCATGGCTGTAAATAATTTCAAACCATATCTTTCTTTTGTACTGTAAATATATCCCATCCATGACTGTCCTTGTATATCTCTAAATTCAACTTGTCAGGATGGATCAGTTAAAGTAAGTTATGACGTTTGTGATTATTAAAATGATTTCGACAATTTCAGGGAGAAACTGTGACAGATTCAGTGTACTAGTTTCTAATCGCAGACAATTGCACAAGCAAAAGAGTACTTAACATTGTTAAGCCAGAATTTTGAAATGATTGGGAGATATTGCAATTTGTTTACCATTCTTGGTTTATTAGGTGTACTATAGAAGAAGCACTGATATGAATGTAGTGCAGATTTTATGAAAATGTTTCTGTAAATAGAGTCAAATCAGTGTCTTTGCTGTGATTTATTCATACCTTCACTTACTCCTAGACTTACACTATGCTTTGTGAAGAAACAAGAACCATAAAGGATTCTTTGTAAGCAGACAGATGATGCATTTAAACATCAGAAACTTTATACCTACTTGGCCTGTAAAGCATCAATGTACAAGGGCTCTGATTTGGTCTAGAAATCTGTATCTTGGTCTGATTCTCATTGTTTTGTCCTTCCGCCAGAAGTCGAATTTCAGCGCCTACAGCAGCCTGTAGTCTACAGTAGGCTACCTTTATGTCCAAGACAAATTCCCTTATGGACAAATGCAGTAATACTGAATCTTACTTGTGCCATAGAGTTGGACAAAAGACTTGATTTTCCTTGACTTGAACAGATATTTCTGAAGAATATGCTTGCTGTCCTGGATAGCATTTATTGGCTATAATACATACATAATATAATAAATCTTAAAGACATTACATTTGAGAATTATAGCCTACTTAAGCCAAAATGCGATCATATATGTTAATGTTTGAAGACTCAAAAGCACATTTAATATTTTAGCAAACTTAAAATGAACACCCCTTAGGCTACATTATCCTATCAAACATCTAAATTAAGACATGTGGTTCATGTGTTGAGTTCTAAGGTGAGTCCTGACAAGCAAAACATGGACAGCCTGGGAGTATTTACCTGTGCCTGCACCACAGTCTGTGAAAAGAAGGCCTGAACTGCACCTGCACATTCAGTGCTCCAGTTAAGTAGAAAGACCAGGAGGGGTCACTGCTGTCCGGTTTACACTGGTGCTGCCTTCAGTTACTGTTGGAAATACTACACTTTTAAAGTAGTTCAAACACTGACGACCCAGTTGCGATTATAGAGGGCTAAATTTGGCACAGTTTGTCCACATGTAACATATAAAGATAAGCTGTATGAAATCAGTATAAGTAAAAGGTTGTGAAAGCATTCCTTGAACATTTTTTGCACATGTAATTCAAGTTCCATTTTCATTTTTTGTCTTCAAATATATATAAACTATTCTACTCATTACTACCAGTTGCCCTGTTTTTACATTTAAAAACACAAACATGAGATTGGTCGTATCCCCGGGTCCTCTATAACCGACCATGCTGTTACTAAATCGGAGATTACCGGAAGCATTTGAAGGCACCACAAGTACACATCTCGCACCTTCTGTCAATTTGCAAGGAGGAAAATGCTGAAAACTTCTAGCAAGACAACAGCGCGGGCATTTACAGGTAGGACAGTGTCATATCCGCTAATAGCGTTTACTCTGTGTCATTTTATATGAATGACATTGTCACATTTTCTACTTAAAGTGTTCCCTAAGGCCACCGGTGCTAGAGAATGAGGGCAAAGCAGCTTAAAGGGAGAGTATTACAGGCAAGCTGGGGACTAGTCGCAGCGATAACCTAGCTGTAGCATGTGTACAGTAAGTTCACTAAAGCTAAAGCTAAAGAATATTTTATCATTTTCCGTCAACAGTAATGATAAGAATATTCACAGTTGTATTGTAAAGTGCTGTAAAGAGATTGCATTGTTATTTTATAGCCTCTCTGACATGAGGAGACATGATTAAGTGGATTAAGTGCGATTTTAACTGTTTATGGGCTAACACAACGTGTATGGATGTGTAAGGCATTCAGGCTCGATGGAGAGTCTCGTGCACACATGTTCAGAGGCTCTGCATCACTTTAATGGTGATGCTGATCATTTGACAGCAAGACAGATGAGGTCAAAGCGAACTGTGTCTGTATGTAGGGCAACTTCACATGTACTGTGGCTTAGACGTATAAATGTATAGGACTGAGAGAATAAATCTTTTATTTACAATATATTATTGTTTGCAGGCCATTTCTTTTGTTGAGACTGTAACACACCAGTACTGTAGGTGATGTCCCTTTCACACAGCTGACACTGTTTAATTTCTTCTAATTTGAGTTATTTTGATTGTTTGTGGACGCTATGAATGGGAAAATTATGATTAAAATTATATAAAAACTGCAATATGAGAGGAGTTTTGACATGAAATGCGGTACAGTGCCCTATTTGATCAAATGTGTTGCAACAATAAGATGTACGAGGAATGTGGACAGGACTGTGGACCTTGGACTCTGAGCCTTGGCAACTGCTCTATGGGGATAAATGTATTTTGTCACAAGGACACAACAAATAATTATTTTGTTAAAGGTCCAGTGTGTAGGATTTAGTGGCATCTAGTGGTCAGGTTGCAGAACTGAAACTTACTCCATGGCTTGCAGGAGAACTATAGTGGCTGATGCAAATTACCCTATCTAGAGCCAGTGTTTGATTTTTCAGTTCTGGGCTAAGGTAGAACAACATGGTGAACTCTGTTGGAGAGGACTAGGCCCCCAGGAAGAGCGCCAGGCTTTGAAGTTGATTTTTGTAGTGGCCAAACAGAGGAATTACAACTTCTGGGTCTGTCTTGTAATGTGATTGGACCCCAAAATACTTTTTTCAACAGATGTCTGTAAATCAGGGACCACTGTGACCCTCGCAACCTCCGTGAAATGACTCTTTCCACTATCAGGATATGATCAATTTGGTCCAATAATATTATGAAAGTCTAGAGGCGCTGCAAGATTAAATTATTTTATCCACATTCGTCAAAGTCTGCAGTGTGCTTGCTCTGTGGTCCCTACAATGTGAAAGATTCAGGTAATTTAACATCCGAGAAGTCAAACTTTTTTTTGCTTCATGCGTTATTGAGGAACTTTAATAGGAATAAATGGGGCCCCAGCCTCCAATGCTGTAACCAGTCTTTATACATCCAGGTAGTGAACCTGCTCCATATGTAGATATGAAGGACTAATTTTAAGGTAAAAAAATACAATGCTTCTTAGTTTCAGGTGATCATAAACTAATGAAAACTTTGTTATGAATATTATGTACCATTTATGCCCCTACACACTGGACCTTTAAGGCAGATCTGTATTCTAATAAAAACATAAATATAACAAACATAAGTGAACATGAACAAATTGGAAGGTTCTCTTAAGCTCTCAGCTAGTATTTTCTTAAGTTTCTCTTTTTTCCCCACTCTTCCTGACAGATGACATTATAGGTCCAGAGCTACTGTGGATGCTCTCTCATCATTTGAATGAAACTCTTCTTTTGTTGCTGTAAACAATTCAAACTGGAATAAGACTACAGAAAAGTGTGAGCATGTTTCACCTAATTAAGAAAGACAAGGAGAAGGAGAAAGAATTAGGCAAGAAGGAGAAGAAAGAGAAGAAAGAGCGTATGTCCCAGGCAGAGTTAAAGAGCCTGGAAGAGATGAGCATACGCAGAGGCTTCTTCCACCTCAATCGAGGGAGTTCTAAGAGGGAATCTAGGAGCAAGCTGGAGATCTCGAGTCCTATCCCAATTAAGGTGGCTACCAACATGGAGCTTAGTCTGACAGACCTGGAGACAGAGCGCCTTCACGGCACCCTGGGGCAAGATATAGGGCAAATAAGTGCAAGTACCTCTGGTGAAGACTTGAAGGGACATGAACTGGATCATCATCGCAGCTCTGTGAAGGAGAGAGCAGCTAAGTTTGGGGAATTGGCCAGGCCGAATTCAGTGGGAAGCCAAAGGCACGTTTCTTTTTCACTGAAGAACAAAGATGACAATGCTTTGGAGGTTTCAGATGTTTCTGAACGGAGTTGGACTACATCATCTCGGAAGTCCTACCCCAACCCAAAAAGCATCAATATGGTCCACATTCCTGAGATGGTGGAGAAGACCTTCCCTGGTGCAGACCTGCAGTTGCCTGTGCTTGTTGCTCCCCCAATACCGGATCCAAGAGAGCTGGAGATACAGCGACGCAACACTGGGGATTTTGGCTTCTCTTTGCGTAGGACCACCATGCTAGAGAGGCAGCCTGATGGAGGGGTGTGTCGGCGTGTGGTACACTTTGCTGAGCCAGGTGCTGGGACCAAGGACCGGGCTCTTGGCCTGGTGCCAGGAGACAGGCTCGTGGAAATCAACGGCATCAATGTGGAGAACAAGAGCAGGGATGAGATCGTGGAGATGATCCGTCAGTCTGGAGAATCGGTCAGGTTAAAGGTGCAGCCGATTTTGGAGCTGAGCGAGTTGAACGCCAGCTGGCTGAGGACTGCTGAAGGCCTGCGCAAAGACATATTTGAAGTAAGTAATATTGTTGTTGAATCTTTTTTATTCCTGAAAAGCGCTTATATCTCAAAATGTTGCTTTTTTGTCAGCCAGGATTTCACTTTTGGATTCATCTCCATTGCACTGAGAAACAGAGTTTATGTTATTCTGATGACTCTAGAGCTTTGTTATTTGGGGTTTTCAATAAATGTATACCTGGGGTTAAACTTATTACCACCTTAAAATTGCTGTATATGGCATTTTTTTTATTCCTCAGCACCGGTGACAGCTGTGGCCACAGCCATCATGTTTTTTTGTTGTTCAGCTATCCATACGTCTGTCCATTCCATCTCATGAATATTATATTTCTAGAATGCCTTGGGGAAATTTCTTCAGATTTGGCACAAACATCTACTTGGACCCAACAATGAAGTGGTTAGGAATTGGTGGTCAAAGCCTATGGTCAAAGGTTTAAAGTCACTGTGACCTTGTCTGTCTCATTCTCATGAAGGCGATATCTCAAGAAGGCCTTGACTGATTTCCTCCAATTTGGCACAAACGTCCAGTTGGACTCAAGGATAAACTGATTAGAATTTGGTGGTCAAAGTTAAAAGGTCAAAGATCAAAAAATGTTTTTGGCCACAACTCAAGAATTAATTTGCTAATTATGACAAAATTTCACACACATTTCTAACAGGATAAAATGATGAAGTGATGACAGTTTATATCCAAAAGGTCAAAGGTCAGCTTCACTGTGATATCATAATGTCCTGAAAAAACACTTTTCTGGTC